TATCGAATAGGCTGCGTGTGCAGACTGCGTTGACATAGAGATAATTTTTCTTAATTCCTTCGGCTCTATTCGAGCCCCAATAGATTACCTCTCTACTCTATCGTTGTAGTGCGTTAATCTTACATTTAGATTTACATGGTCTCATTTTTTACTCATTTTAGTTTATGTCTTCTTCCCATGCATACTTCCAGTTAAACAGGTTTCTCCGTCCTGCATTTCGCCCACACAAATTCTCTTATTCCAGCGGTGCCGGACATCCCCCGCACATTCCTGTAATGGTGGATGAAGTTATCGATTTCCTCGCGCCGAAATCAGGCCAAGTATGATCTTTGGGCTTCGTTTTTATATTTTATGCTTTTTAGGTATTTCTCGACATGACCTTCGGGTGTGGGGGCCACTCTAGCGCGCTTCTCCACAAATCTCCTGAAACTGTCGTCTTTTGTCTTGATCGGGATCCATCTACATTACCTTACATGGACCAGCTTAAGTCAGTCTGCAGTAGTTTCTCTTGATTTATTCATAATTGATTAACACCGATAGTAAAGTTCTTGAATTAGAGCGTTTTATGAACCCATGACTGCGGCATATGGGGCCCTATTGCCATAGCCTTTATCATAAGATGAGAATGTATTTATCTGTCCACTCGATTTGAGTACATTGGTCTGTTTCCATGATATTCTTTGTGTTCATGCTTTTGATTCTTTCAAGATTTCCGTTTGAAAGCACATATCTATTCTCAAACGCAAGTATCTGTAGCTACTTTTGAATAGGTATATGGTTTTGTAATAGAGCATAGCTAATCAGGGACGATTTGTCGAGGGAGCTGGAGTCCTGGTTATTTGTGATGGTCTTTTTTGTCACTGTAATATACATTAACTAGCCAGAAGGATCCCACCAAGTGGGTCTCGTACATTGTGCCTCAATTTCTTGTGATCGGGAATATTATGAATTAAAATCTCCACTTGCCTCTTTAAACGAAATGAAAGGTACTCCAATATCCAGAACTCACTTGCAGATTATATACATTGTTTGCTGAATTTTCTGTGGAAAATAATAACAACTCAACCTGTGATAAATTATATAGACTCGTTTCTCTTTTTTTACTGAATTATTATCGGCTTAATTTTACTCTGACAGTGATATAATATAGCTGTATACATCCTATTTCGTTTAACGTGATGAAAGACTGTTGAATTTTCCCACAATGAGTTGCATAAAACTAACGTTTTTATTGAATTTCACATATTATTGCTTTCCCTGCAATCGACACTATACCAACATGCGGAGATTTTCATGAACACAAAGTTAAGTAAAAGGTCAACAATGATACTGACCAACCTACTGG